CTCTCNCTCTCTCTCTCTCTCTCTCTCTCTCTCTCTCTCTCTCTCTCTCTCTCTCTCTCTCTCTCTCTCTCTCTCTCTCTCTCTCTCTCGTGCGCGCGCGCGCGTGTGCACGTCCGCGAGTCTCAATGGCCATCGCAATATGAACTCAGAAAAAGAAACAAACTGAAAAGTTGAAAGAAGAGAAGGTAGAACTCATAGCCGGAGCGACATTACATTTGGGCTAAAGAGCAACCAATAAAAAAATAATAAAGTAATTCAGATGAGAATTCTGATCCAGTGTCTCAGCCTAATCGGACCGAATATGAGATCCTCTTGAGTCCAATCTGACCAGGTCCGGAAACGTACAACAAATTCAAACAATAAGTAACAATATGCATCAATGGAGAATTGAGTGGGGTATAAGGGGCGAGTCAAGCCACGGAGTGTGCGATAAAAGTATACGAAACATCTAAGTCAAAATCCACTTGGCAGCAAGTGCTCTAACCAAAGAATAAAACTTTGCATCCCAAACAGAAAGAAAACGATCAGGCGTCAAACAAATTGGGCATAAGGGACCCTTCTTGCTTGGGCCTGGTCCCACTGAGTACCCAAAATGTCCCAAGTAGGCCGTGACCAAGTCCCAACCAAGAAGAGTCTCACTTGGACCTACTTTCTGCCTCTACCGAACTGGAAAACAATTTTCAACTTCAAGGAGAACCTACAGTCTACATCTGTTCAGAGACAAATAGACAATGCACTATAGAAAGATATGGCGTCCAAAGCAAGATACCTCATCTTTTCATCTATCAGGTGATAAAACAGTTTGCATGTTCATTCTCACAATCAATACCACAGAGGAGTAGGAAAAGAAGCCCATAGTAACCCCAACAAGACGATCAATACCATGCACGCACATACATGGGCATCCCGTAGGTGCATGACACTTACCTGAGTGGCCTAAGCTTCGAGATGAATAGAACTCACCCCCCCAAAATATGGTCCTCCCGACCCCTTTAACGCTACCCCTACACTAATGTCCTATCTACTAGGAGGGTCTGACTCCAACACCAAAGGGCAATGCAGGATCCCCTGCCGATGCTGAAGAACAAAGTAGCAACTTGCAGTTCGTAGATGCAGAATGGTTGCTTTCTCTCAAGCTCGCCTACTTGAGGGAAGCCCTAAAGTCGCCAAGTGTCTCCCTTGAATCAGATTTCAGGTGTGAGTGCGTCTCACTGTCGCCTCTCCCAAATTGTAGCATGAAGTCTTCTCGAAGTGTCTCCCCACTCCAAACTTACTGTCAAACAACCTGGTCAGGTCCAATGTCGACCCAACACGACCAGCCAAATGGGGGCAGCTTCCCTTTACCACGCTGCCTCACTTCCCTCAGCTTCCAGCCCTAACCCTAAGTGGTAGCCCTCCACTGAGGTTAGGGCTGGAGCGACAAAGTCAACTCTCGCCAGCAAGTAGAATTCGCTCTGATATCAATATTGTGATCCTGGCCAATTTCGAAGTACACATTCATGGGAACGTACAATGTCGTCGAATTGAAAAAAGAAATGAATGAACTTCAGAGGAGAGAGAGGGAAAGAAGAAGAAGAAGAAGAAGAAGCAGATGTACACCAGCAAATACCAATGAGAATTTTCTTCTTCTTCGCCAACCACTCTCCTCCTCCTTATCTCCTTCCCACACATTCAAACAAGAAATAATAATGTTGAATGGCTGAACCACAATCAATGTCTGAATCTCTCTTTTACTACAGGTATCACATGAGGACCACCATAGCGATGGTCATCCTTCTTCCTTCCTCCTCGTAGGCCGAGGCTATGGCGGACTACCAGGGCCTTGCCCTGCTGTGCAAAGGACAACACAAAGCAGTTATGGCTGCCCCTGCTCAGGCTGCCATGCTAGACTCTGCCTCGAAGCTTCTTGGTGCAGCTTTACCCCAGCGGGACCTTCCATATGCAGATGGCGTCCTCCATAGATAGGTAAGTACCCTTGCGCTCTCCCTGGTAGTCCTCGTCTTCCTCCTCCTCCAGCCCATGCTCTTCCACCATAGTCGCGGTGGAGAGTTGGGCGCTCTATCCTCCCCAGCAACGCTGCTCCAAGCAACGTTGCTCCAACCAACACTCCAAGCAGCAAGTCGCCAAACTTGCATACCAAAGAATGAGGAGCACTTCACTCCTCCTGGAGATATAGCGACCTCCTTGGTTCTTGGTGAGTGACTTCCTAGGCCACGTGGCCTCCAAGCAACCGGTACCTCTTCCCATTCGGAGAGAAACATCATTGCAGACTCAGATATTGCCCGTGCAAGCCCTAGACTCAGACTGGTTGGACTGGTACCCGCCTAGACCTAGCCTACAACTACTGGGGCTCTAAAAATGCTAGTTTTGTCTTCTTCCGCTTGGCCTCGAGTACCCAGCACATCTACGGTCTACCTCTTCCTGGTGTGGTATCGGCCTACCTGCTACTTGAGTGTTTTTTCGCGGCTCAAGGTGTCGTGGGCCTCTTTCTCTGTGACTTGAGTGTTTTCGTCGCTGCAACCTCAATGTCATGGCCACAGGTAAGTACCAGCCCTTTGGGCCTTCCACACGGACAAGTACCCTTTGCGGGTCACACACAGACTCAAACCGACAAGCACTCTGACAGGCAGGCAGACCAGCAAGTACACACCAGTGCTCGCAATCTTTGTGTATGTTGTGAACTGGATCCGACCCAAATCTAGTTTGCAAAAAAGACTTCAATTGTACCCAGCCCCAATTGCAAAAAAAAATTTGTCCAGCTGTCCAAACTGGATAGCGGGGTTTTGCAGATTTCCAAACTGCACCTGGCCCGGCCAGCAACCTGAGAAAATGCCGAACTGCACCCAGCTGGACCAGGACCCAACTTTACATCATTCTGGCTGCCCAGACCCAACGTGAACTGCCATGGGCGGCCTTTTTCCTTTTTGAATACGAAACTTTTTTTTTTTTTTTTTTTTTTTCCTTGAGGGAACAAGGCTCCAATCTATTCGTGGGGAGCAGCACGTGCTGGGAACCGGGCCCAGCGTCCCATATGGAAATTTACATAGAAGCTTAAAAGTTTGAGATACCGGGGCCATTACCCGGCTTTGGCTAAGAAGAAATTGAACTACTTAGAAACTTACCCTGACAAACTTCAGAAATGGGCAAAGTTCAAAAAATGACTCAGAACCCCTTATCAATCCCCTTTACCTCACTCCGACCATCTACTTCTCCCACTCACCTCTTTTTAAGAAAAATTAAGAAGGCCTCCCCCTACCAGCATTGATTGCCCCGGAAACCAGGGGATTAACTGAACTGGGACGCCCTTTGATGATAGGTCAAATTTGGAAAGGTTGTACAAATGCTCAGAAACCCTCGGAATCCTTAGCAGACCCTTCTAAAGCTCTCCAACAGTGTTTTATTCCCTGTCGAGCTCTTCCAGGCCTCACACCCCCACGACCTGCTGGATTACAGGGCGACGCGACTCGCCCCAGCTCCGACCAGCGTCGTCCCAGCAGCAACCCTTGGTTGTCCTGTGGAATGCCCACCCCAAAGCATCCCCATATCTTTCTACCAGGCCTCACGCTCCTGCATCAGCAGGTTACAGGGCATCACCCCAACACTGGCCAGCGTCGTTCTGGCATCGAACAGTCACGGATCACTGAATATAACAGCATCGAAGCCACCTAAGACAAGTAGTCCCCGGAGTCCCCAAACATTCTTAAGACCACCAAGAGCAAACAGAAACGGCCAACGTTTTTTTTTTAAAGCACCGGGGCCATTACCCGGCTTCGACTAAGAAAACTCTAAGAACAGATTGCAACGTTTTGGAAATTCTAAAAAATTATCTTCTCGAAGTCTAATAACAACTGCCTATGACAGTGTTCAAAAAGCAAAAGAAAAAGGGACACAAGCTAGAACCACTAGCCATCCATCTCCTCCCCTCTCCACAAACGAAGAAAACCCGTCCAAGCTTTCAATCCTCGTGCTAGAAATCATCAGATCTCATACCTCCCTTGCTAAGGTTACAAGGCAACATTACCTACCCCAGTACCGACCTGACTGTTTCTGACCGACAGAAAGTGTTTTCCTCTCTCGACAGCTTCCTTAACTGTAAGGCCCCTTAAAGGTTACAACCTTACAGGATCACCGCCCCAGCTACAACTTCATTGAACGGGATGGTTATGCCTTCCACCCTCGGGATAACTCTAATGGCCTCAAGCTCCCCCTGGTCACAGAGCTATGCTCCAGCACCGGCCAATGTCGTCCCAACCCGCCCTTCTAGTAGACCTACTACCCTGAACAATGAATCCTTCCTCTGCCTGAGCCTGCCACAACCCTTCAAACCATAATTCTAGCCTTACCCTTCCTCTTACCATACACTAAACATAGGCAATTGTAAAACCAATTTCTCTTTTTTTAAAAACGTCTAAGACTATCACGAAAAGAACAAAAGAGAACACGAAATACACAGCACAGGAGAAAAAAAAGGGCAAGCGGTCAGAATAGATCAGGACCTGCTAAGCAAAAAAAGGGAAGGTGGAGGTTGTCAGTCCTCGTACAAAAATGCGGCGGATCTCAAACCCCCTCGTGCTAGGGTCACAGGCGCCACCGCTACCCCAAAACCGATCCACCTTGTTCTCACGGCTAAGAAGTGTCTTCCACCCTCGACTACTCCTCAAAAGTCACAAAGCTCTACAGTTACAAGGAAAACCCCTGGCAATGACTTCGTCGAACCCACTGGTTTTGCCACACAAACGGGCATAACTCCCCAGGCCTCGAGCTCCTACCCAGGTTACAGAGTCACAACTCCAGCACTGGCCTGAGTCGTCCCCGGAGAATCCTCCTGGCCTACCAGCCAAAACCAACCATCCAACTACATAGCAGATCCATACCACCCTAAGCCGATGCACCATCCTCAACTCCCCCAACTATGCAAAGGTCCAAAGAAATACAAGACAGTCAGGCCCTGGTTGCTCCACTCCTTATATCCCATACGACCTTCCTCCGCCAAGACTTACCGTGATAGAGCCACCGTCTCCACCATCGCTATGCCCTATCTCAATCCTGCTAGCTAGCCCTTTCACCGCAGGACGCGTGTCACCCAACCCTACCCCACCCCTACCCCTGCAACCAACGACCAATTATGAGGTGTTACAATCAACAAACCGAATCTGGGTAAAAAATTCAGAACACTACCCAAGTATAGGAAACTACGAGATTGAAAAACAACCCACCTATAGATAAACGTAGGACCGTTCACTAAAGGAGATAAGAGTATAACCCGTCGGCAACCAGAACAAGTAACCATGCATGAAAATCAGAACAAAATTTTGAGATATGAAATCAGATTGTGAACGGTTAAATACCAGAATTGTTATGATACTTTCGAAAAAATACAAGCGGTAAAATAGATCAAATTATTCGAGAGATCAAAATACGAACACGAGTAAAGAATCGAAAACCAAAATAGAGATGAGATACATAGTATCTAGAAATATCAACAGGTAACAAGTTTGAATATCTAATGAGGCTTTTCGAACCAATTTCTCAAACTTTCGTTTACGAAACGTTAAACGTTTAGTAAAACCACTGACACTTATTTGAGAAAGTTAAGAGGAAATTCTCTCAAAATCATAGGCAATCGTGTCAGTTTATCAAAATTCATAGAAAAATTACAACCTAAAATCATTAGCGGCTATTTAGGTTAAATAACGGGAATCAAGATATCGAATTCTCCTCCTCAAAGTATTATCAGAAAATGAATGAAAACCACCGAAATAAAATGAAACAAGAAAAGTTATTAAAGCCCTTGGGGGAAGGAGCACTCCAATCTAGCATAAAGATGATCCTAATCCCATACAAAATCTCCTCCCTACTCCGTCAACCAATCATCCTTGCGTCCTGACCTCTCACCCCCCAGCCCTACCCCACCGTCTTTGGGGGATGAAGAAATCCCTTCTTCCCACTGCTAGCATCAAAAGTCACAACAAAACTAGCTCAAAAGACATCAACGGCCAGCATTCATCTTATGATGAGGGAAAACCAGTGTAACGCTCCTTGTCAAACCTGTTGGCAAGTCGTCACAGGGGGTTCAAACCACTTACCCAAACACTTACCATCCGGTTGAAGAAGAAGGAGGTTTGCCTGATTGGAAAAACACTGGAAAAGGTAGGTCCTGTCTCGATCCCTCCCCCCCTTTGTAGTTACTTTGAAGTTACCATTAAGATGGCCCAAGACTATTCGACCCTCTCGGCCAGCAACTCGCTGTTCACCTTTAAGCTCCAACATGAAAGCAGCAAACTAACAAAGTTAATTGTTCCCATCCCGTACTCTCGCTTGCCACGCCCTTCGCCTACTCCCGCTTGCGCTCCCTCACACATATCCAAACTCACTCCACATCGCCCTCCGCGTACATAAGCATTCTTACACGCACCAATCATCGTCACATACCTCAGCACACGTTCAAAGCTCGCACGGGATGCACTCGTCTCGAAGTTCGCGCGAGGCGCGGCCGCATCTGAAGTCGCGTGGGGCGCCACCATCTCAAAGTTTGCGCGAGGTGCGGCCGCTTCAGAATTCGCGTGGGGCGCAGTGCTCCCGGACGCGCTGCGCCTCCTCGACGGTCCTTAGTCCTTGAATATGAAACATCAATATGACCTTTTTTTTTTTTCTACCATTGGCTCCCCTATTGATTTTTTGTTTTTCAAGTAACTCAAACATCATTGAGGAAGGTATTCATCATAGAAGTGAGCACTCCGGGATAGTGGTCTTACCCATGAATGTTTTCATATTAAAAACAAAAATAAAAATTGCAGATTTTCCAACTTCACCTAACTTCACTCATGTCCACTGTCAGTACTCTGCGTGCGTACACCAGCAAGGCATGCCCTGTTTCTGCGACTCGTGTCCGACCAACTTGCCACCGGCCCACTCAGGGGCTTCACAAGTTCAAAGTTCATCTGCCTACTGCCCCAAGGCCGTTTCCCGCTCGAATGACATTGAACTAACACTCCGGAATCTCACTTGTGGCCCCCATGGAACCGAAGTGACAGACTCCAACATGTTGTCGCCGCCCTGGAACAACCTTTTGCAGGTCTTCAGAAAATGAATGCACAGAGCTTTCATTTGGTCCAGGTACATTGAGATTATTTGGTTGAAGTTCTTTCTGTTCCCAGTCTTGCATATTTTTCCTTCAGCCCCGCATGGGCAGCGACGCAGGGCGAACGGTCGGGTGGAAAATATGAGCGTATATACTGTGGTCCTAAGTTCATTCATATATAGAATATTATAGATACATATACACACACACACACATATATATATTGGCATGAGGCTTGTACGGCTGACCCGACAAATTCCGCAGTCAGGCCATGCCACCACCTGATTGAACCCCAGCTGCGCCTGGGTGTCCCAAATCTGCCCCTGGACCGGGCCTACGTAATGCGGTACCCGGTAAGTTATTGGTGGTAGTAGCAAATATTCATATCAAAACTTTAAAAATCGAAGCATCGAAAGGGCTCCGCAGGTGAGCAGCCGCTGCATACGAAGTTTTTTATTTTTCGATTAAACTATAATTAAAAAGATTTTGTCTTTTGATTGGTGCGCTTGCCTTGTGACTTGTGCGTACGTGCGGAGGACCGCATCGACAACAATGTGATTTAAAAACATTTTGATAGGTCAGTGCGTCACGCAGTACTCGCTGAGGCGTCCGTCAATATTAGACCCAACCTTGTGCCTAGCCCTATTGGTTACAGTAGCAGATTTTCAACTGAGAGATTCATGGATCGAGGCCAGCGACGGCAGTGCACATAGTATCGGAACGACAAGGAAGAGCCTAGGGGTTGAGGACTCTGTGGGGCTATCCCCCTTTGGTTTTGCCGTCGACGGAGTCGGAGCGGTCTGCCGTTCTCTAACGACTAAAATTTTCCCACATAATTTATTTTACTACCGTCATTATTATTCAACTTTATGTTTTTGACTTTTCTTAAGTCAGGCGCGACACTGGCCACGGGTGGCCGTCGCGGCAGCCGAGAACCTTGAGCATGCACATTTTTTGGCAAGCCCATTCGGGTTTCAGGGTGTCGGGGTGTTGGCGGAATTCCCCTGTCCCGCCCATCTTGAAGTACGGACCGAAGAGGTCAATGTGCGGGAGAGTGGTGGGATCAGTGGCCTCGATTTCCTTTGCCACTCGGAATGTTCTTCATTTCCCTTCTACTTCAGGCTATTGACACTCTCCAATCGGGAGGCAAAGGAAACCGCGATTATTCTCCCGCACGCAAGTTGATTTCTTCGGTCCGTACTTCAAGACGGGCAGGGCAGGGGAATTCCACGAACACCCCGGCATGCCGGAACCCGAACGGGTTTGCCAAAAGATGCGCATGCTCAAGGTCCTCAACTGCCTTGATGGCCACCCGTGGCCAGTGTCGCACCTTACTTAAGAAAAGTCAAAAGCATAAAGTTAAATAATAACGATGATAGTAAAATAAATTGTCTGGGAAGATTTTAGTCGTCAGAGAACGGCAGACCGCTCCGACTCCATCGATGGTAAAACCAAGGGGGGATAGCCCCGTTGGGTCCTCGACCCCTAGTCTCTTCCTTGCCGTTCCGATACTCTGTGCGTTGCCGCCGTTGGCCTCGATCCCTTAATCTCTCGGTTAAAAATATGCTACCGTTGCTAGACCCAAGCCTGGGTCTAGTATTGACGGACGCCTATATAAGCGGGTACTGCTCGACGTGCTAATCTATCAAAACGTTTTTAAATCATATTATTATCGATGTCGTCCTCCACACGTACGCACAGGTCACAAGGCAAGCGCATCAAACGAAAGATAAAATATTTTTAATCATAGTTTAATTGGAAAATAAAAAACTTGGCCGGTAACTACGTCAGCTTCACAATCATCAACAAGAGGAGAGATCACGCGCGCCCTAAGTCTGCGCACCCACACACTCTCTATTCTAGTCAACCATTCAGTCAACATAAACAACAGACACCGCCACGACCCGCGCGAAGTACTGAAACTTTAAACCAACCTATTTTCTGTTACTTGCAAAAACCAGGGCGGATACCGTTGTAAGGGTATTCGCACCGACACCGCAGTCATCACTTTCCTCGCGTCCATCACTTGGTGCGCTATGATGACATTCCCACTGGGGTGTGATGGCGAGCATGATCTCTCTCTCCTCTTGAGGGTGCCATATCCATCGGGGCAGCAACAACAACAATAATTGTGGCAGAGCGTGATCAAAGAGGAACGTGGATCGAGCAATGATAAAAACGACAGGCCATGAGACTGTCACCTGGGAGACAACGGCGCCTTCACAGCTGGATCGCGACATCATGGCCTCGTTCTTCTTCCTCCACACAACCATGAGCATGCTGCATGCAAGCAGGAACTTGCATAAGATTGGAACTCCCTAGATGTCACATATATGACGATCCATCTTCTGATGGGCACGACTTTTTGCACGATTGAACCTCGAGGCCGTTGGATGGGCCTGAGGGCTAATTGCATGAATGCCGTCATTCTTGTTTTTCCCCTATTTTGCGAGAACTTGGTTCCCTGGATGCTAGTGGTCAGGACGCGCCTTAGCGAGCGTAGGAATAAGGGTTGATGCAACTTTTTTTTATAGGAAATTCGGGCAAAGAACTTTGGCGCGATCATCACGAGGGAAAATCTTTTGAGTTTGAAACTCTTTGAAGAGATTACGGGGAACTGCGTGGGTATTCGAAGTTTATTTTTTGCAAGTAAAACTATAATTAGACTAGGAGTTTGGAAACACTGTACTTTTGGTTGCAACTGCAGGATGCTTCTTACTCGTGCGCGCCTTACTGCGCTCTGTCTTGCACTATGTTGTCGTCGCGCTTTAAGTCTAATCGCAGTTGTAAGTATCTCTCGTTCCTCTTTTGGCGAATGTGGGTGTAACTGTCTCCCTCTTAACTTCTCTTCGCGCTGAAACATGTGGCCCCTTTCCCTTCGTCTCACTGGCCAACACGGTGCACGACTAGATCGATGTATGGAGAGTGGCTACGTCCCCTGCGTCGAGCCCAGGCATGCCGATCGTAGGCACCTTCTTCCTTTCTCTTTCCCCTTTCCTTAGCATAATCCTGACTATTTTGCACAAATGCTATAATTGATATAAATTTCTCAAGCGCGGCAAAGTCTCCCTCTAATATAAACTTATGAAGTTATCGTGGTCGAGAGGATCGGTTAACGAGTATGGGCATGCATGGAGGTGAGTTCAGGGCTGGGCGATTTGACGAGCTGGTGGTGAGTGTGCGAGTTTGACGTGTGGCCGAGGCGAACTGGGGAGCACGGGGGAACTCGGCGTGCATACTCGGGCTAAGTGGGATGACAACTTTGGGTTGTTGGTAGGTGCGAGGCGACGGACTGCCTGCATCGGAGTAAGGAGGAGGATGGTGACGTGGTGAGAGGGTGTGGGGCGTTGGGGTATGCGTGAACTTCTCTCCTTGCCTTCTAAGAATTTTTGTTTTGGCTTTCGCCATTTTTGCTTTCGCAATTTTTTATTTTTTTTATGATTGTATGACTTACTCCTTTGTTCGGAGTTCTCTCGTATCTCTTTCTTTTATGAATGATATCATGAGTGATGATTGTGGTTGGATCGTCTAATTTTTGCATGCATAATCCCCGTTTATGTCTGGAGATGGAATGCTTGGGGAACACTGGTGCACCCCTACCGTCTTTCCCCGAACACAACGCACCCTCATTTTGACTGTATCGGGCTGCAAACATACCTTGTGTACGTTTATTTTCAGGGTGCGTTATGTTCGGGGGAAGACGGTAGCCTTAGCCTGTGGGAATCGAAGAGAAATAGAGAAGTTGGTCGCCTCGAGTTGCGTTACGAACGGATCTTGGGCCACTTGTTTACGTTACAGTTGACCAGTAAACCGGCCTGTCCTGGGTACGCAAGACACCAACGCCTGGGATGTGTCACTGGTATATTTTTGCATTGGTAGGAACATGATTGCATTAAGGTGAATTCGTAGCTTGGAATCCACTTTCCCTTTCTGAGTAACAAATTGTGATTGCTTGAGGGACTGTGAGTACCTGGAATATGAGGGGTGCGAATATTTTGTCTTATCAATTGCGATCGGGGTTCCTCAATATTCTGCAACAGACGAGAGATGAGTGTGTATGTGAGTGTGATATACAACAAGTTATAGGTCACAACCCTCAGATCCGACAATACCCCAACACGCACACGTTTTAAGTTTTCGCTGAGCCTGGGTTCGTCGTAGTAGAAACTGATTTCCCTCTCCATCATCTTATTCTCGCCTATCACCATTTAACCGCAGACGGACCCACCTTAAACACCAAACCCGGCCATGGAAGCCGCGAGCTGAGAAAATCTTCTTTCCGTCCAAACTTTTTTGCGTTTTGGTCCTTGGAACCTTGACATAGGAAATCCCAGTTCCGACCTGGGATTCCACCCCACTTTCCTAAAATCCTTGGCAAACCCCCTTTTTCGCACTTTCGGGCCCGCTCCCACTCCAATTAGGAAGTCGCGTTGGGCATGAGGTTGGATGTCACACTCCGCTTCCCGTG